TGGGCGGGGAGGCCCGCGGGGTCCGGCAGCTGCGGCACTGAAATTACCGGAGGCCTCAGGGACAGGGGACAGGATTCACCCCACAATATTCACAGACCTGCGATAATTATTTTCAAGCGCAAATGGAAAGCGGAGACGCTGACAGGAATGTGTCAGGGCAAAAGAAACATCTCAAAGGGGAGCTGCGGGGATGACCCGGCGATCTACTGCCCAGGCAGCCTCCCTTCAGCTCTGAAAATCTCTACAATTACTTATTAAACATTCAATTTGTAGCCACCTAAAAGGTAATAAGGTGATAAGGACAGCTAACGTAATTGTGAAAACCATATTTGCCAAATGAGTGTAACTTGCCTTCAGGAATCCCAGGTCCCAGAGACAGAGGACAAAGGCTGGAGCGAGAAAGACCCTTGGTGGATGAAGATCAGGTCAGCAAATACTTAAGCAAACTGCACTCACATAAGTTCATGGGCCCTGATAGGATGTACCCACAAGTCCTGAAGGAGCTGGCAGATGGCTTTTCAAGGTCACTCCCAATCATCTTTGATTGATCGTGGTAACTGGGAGAAGCGCCCAAGGACTGAAGGAAAGCACATGTCACCCCCATCTTCAGGAAGGGTAGGAAGGATGACATAGGGAACTACAGGCTGGTCAAATTCACCTCAATCCCTGAGAAGGTGATGGGTGAGCTAATACTGGAAAGAGTCTTCAGGCACATCAAGGACACTGAAATAATCAGTAGTAGTCATCATGGCTTCACCAAGGGGAAGTCATGCTCCGACCAGCTTCCATGATGAAGTGATTGGCCTGGGGGCCCTGGGGATGAGGGGAGGGCAGTGGATCTTGTCCACATGGACTTCAGTAAGGCTTTGACACTGCCTCCTGTAAGATCTTCACAGAGAAGCTGTTGATATATGGGTTGGATAAACATATAGTGAGGTGAATTAAAAACTGGCTGAACAGTTGGGCCCAGAGGATGATGATCAGTGGCATGATCTATTTGGAGGCCAGTAACTAGTGGTGTACCCCAGGGATCAATACTGTTCAACATCTCCATTAATGATCTAGATGATGGGACAGAGTGTACCCTCAGCAAGTTTGCAGATGACAACAAACTCAGAGTGGCTGATAGACGAGGGTCATGCTGCTATCCAGAGGAAACTTGGTAGGCTGGAGAAATGGGCCAACAGGTGCCTCATGAAGTTCAACATGGAGAAGTGCAAAGTCCTACAGCTGGGGACAAACAATCCCATGCACCAGTACCCACTGGGGCACCCAGCTGGAAAGCAGCTTGTCAGAATGGAATCTGGGTGTCCTCATGGATACCAAGTTGAACATGAGCCAGCAGCGGACCTTTGTGACAAAGAAGGCAAATGGTATCCTGGGCTACATTAGACAAAACATTGCCAGCAGGTCGAGGGAGGTGATCCTTCCCCTCTGCACTGGTGAGTCCACACCTGGAGTGCTGTGTCCAGTTCTGGGCTCCCCAGTACAAGAGACATATGGACATACTGGAGACAGTGCAGCAAAGGGCCATGAAGATGTTGAAGGGACTGGAGCATCTCTCCTATGAGGAAAGGCTGAGAGAGCTGGGACTGTCCAGCCCAGAGAAGAGAAGGCTCAGGCGGATCTCATCAATGTATAAAAATACCCAAAGATAGGGTGCAAAGAGCCAGGCTTTTGTCATTGGTGTCCAGTGATGGGATCAGAGGCAATGGACCCAAACTGAAACACAGGAAGTTCCCTCTGAACATCAGGAAACACTTTTTCACTGTGAGCGTGACCACGCGCTGTCACAGGTTGCCTGGGAAGGTTGTGGACTCTTCCTTCTTGGAGGTATTCAAAAGCCTACTGGACATGGTCCTGGTCAACCAGCTCTAGGTGGCCCTGCTTGATCACGGGGTGGGACCAGAAGACTTCCAGAGGTCATCTCCAACCTCAACCCTTCTGTAATTTCAGTTAGTAGAATCTAGAGAGTTTTTTCATCAGTCCCCCAGTCAAAAGGAAGGGGTTTGAAAGGGCCAGTTGAATCTAGCAAATCAACAATTGTTTATGGGACTGGTGCCACAGCCATATGTTCAGCTCCTTAGACCATGGCACTCACTTTTAGAAACCAGGTCTAATGGGGGACAGAGTCCAGTCTGTCAGAGAAGGGGAAGAGCATCTTCAATTACAGG